GGTGGTCGTAAAGGGGCAAGCANAAGGGCAGGCAGACAAGCAAGATGAACGAACGCACGCACGGCCTGGTGTGGGGTAGGGCAAGGGCGAGGAGGGCGAGGGCGGAGGGCAACGCATCTCCCTGGCCTCTTTCTTTCCCGGCCCATCATCGTACGGCGAGGACGGGCCGTGGTCGCGGCTCGAGGCCTGGCCGTGCCGGCGTGGTAGCCGCCCGTCGCTCGTCGGTCGTACGTGCTCGCTGGCCTCGCCCTGCCTTGCTTGCCCAGCCATGCCAGGCCTGCAAGCTTCTTGCGTCCTTCCTGGCTGCCCTGGCGCCCACTCCACACGACAGCAGCCAGGCGGGCAGGCACGGCAGGGGCCACGCAGGGCGAATTCGGCCAAGCTCGGAAGGCCTCCCGCCATGGAGCCAGCGAAATTGCCGGCCAGCAGGCCCGGCCAAGCCTAGCCTAGGCTAGCCTAGCCTGTCGACTGGCTGGGCGCTGAAAGGCAGGCAGGAAGGCTGGCTTTGATTTGAATTCGCGCCAGATCCTAGCCTAGCTTCGTCTCGTTGAGATTTGACCCGCGCACCCGCCGGTTTCAAATGGTTTCCACCAGCCTCAAGCCAAAAGCAAACACGAAAGCAGGCAGGCAAGGCTGGCGATCGTCGAGAAGAAAGCCCTTCGGCAATCCGCCGAGCCATCCCAGGCCATGCCTAGCCAGCCAGCCACGCCCCGTCCGTCATCATCTCTGCTCCGCCGCAGAGCTCGACGAGACCACGCCGAGATCGACCAGGGACATGGTGGTATCGCCGGAGAAGCAGCAGACAGACAGGAAGAGCTAGAGAGTGAGGTGTGACGGCGAGTGAGCAGGCTACAAGGGGGAGCTGCGGCGAGCGAGCTGGCACGTACGGTGGACGCCGCGAGCAGGCAGGCCCCTCTCCGGAGGCGGTCCGGTGGCTCCGAGTCGCCCCTGCCCCCCCCCCGAACCCCCCTGCTGGCGTTTCCGGCCAGCGAGTCACACCAGCAGGGCCGCCAAAAAAAAAATCACGCCCGAAATTCCAAAAGAAAACCGCCGGGGCGCCCTCGAGAAAAAAGAAAAAAAAGAGAGGGGCACCTCGCATGGTTGCGAGGGCACAATTTGATTGTGCGACAACCACAGGATTCGAACCTGTGCAGGCAGAGCCTATACGTTTCCTCCCCCAGAGGGGCGCGAACCACGCGGGCGTTTTAGTTCGAGACGTACTCCTTGACCACTCGGACAGATTGCCTCGTCATGTCAAGGGCTCGAAATGGTGGGTATAGGATGTGTGCGGGTTGGAGGGGGGGAGGCGATCACCTGGGGGGGACTCGCAAGCGCACAGACGCCGCCTCTCCACATTTTTGCAGGGCCGCGGCCAGGGCAGGGCGAGCCACAGAGGGCAGCAGCAGCGACGCAGGCCACGCCGCTCTCGCCTCGTCATCACTACCACCAGCACCCGCACCATCACCCAGCACCACTGCCACTGCCACTGCCACTGCCAGCACCAACAGCCAGCACCGACTGCCAGCGTTCCTCCTCTAGCAAGCAGCGCTCCCCTCACCCACCATTGTCGCAGCAACCGCGTCGCAGCAACCGCATCGCAGCAACCGCGTCGCAGCAACCGCATCGCGACCTCCTCGCCTTCCGGCCCCCCCCCCCCCCCGCCAACCCCTCCCTCCATACCGCGCCGCCGCCCACGTCGACGTCGAACCTACCCGACCCGGCCCGACGACCGTCGGTCCGTCCGCCGACGCCCGTCCCGCCTCGACGATCCGGTCGAACCGACGACCGTACC